GCTGGTTGTGATCCCCAGGTTGTGCCAGTCAGCTTTCGTATGATATTGTTTCTAGCACCCACTTTTTGTTTGATGTTCAGGCAGTGCTTCTTGTAGGTCAGAGAGCGGTCCAGAGTGACTCCCAGGTATTTGGGTGCGCTGCAATGCTCTAGTGGGATTCCTTCCCAGGTAATCTTCAGAGCTCGGGATGCTTGTCTGTTCTTAAGGTGAAAGGCACATGTGTGTTTTAGATGGATTAGGGATCAGTTGGTTTTCCCTCTAATAGGCAGTTAGAGCACCTAGAGCTTTGGAGAGCTTCTGTTCTACCATCTCAAAGCTCCCTGCTTGAGCGGTAATGGCACGATCATCAGCATAGATGAAACTCTCTGTCCCTTCTGGCAGTGGCTGGTCATTTGTGTAGATGTTGAACATGGATGGGGTGAGCACGCTCCCCTGAGGCAGGCCATTCTTCTGTGTCCGCCATCTGCTTCTCTGGCCCTGAAACTCAACAAAAAGCTCCTGTTTTGTAGCAGGTTTCCTATGAGATGGGTGAGATGGCAGTCCTTTGTGATATTATACATTTTTCTCAGGAGGAGGCGGTGGTATCAGATATTTACTATTCATAACATCAGCAAAATGACAGTTATGAAGTAGCAATGAAACTAATGTTATGGTTGGGGGTCACCATAACATGAGGAAGTGTATTAAGGGGTCGTGGCATTAGGAAGGTTGAGAACCACTGTAGTAAAGGATGCCTCCCACCACAGCAGTAAACAACCAATCATGCCTTGTCCAGCAACTAGGAAGAGTCCATCCCAATTGCCATTGCTGTGGTCTTGAAGAAGGGGGGCTTCCACAGTGTCACCCCTTCTCATTGTACAGTCTACAGTAATTGAGTGTTGCGAACTGTCAAATTAATAGTGTGTAAGTGGGCTTTGGGAGTCTTTTTGGCTGAAGGATGGGGTATAAATGCTTATAAATAAATTATAAAAAATATTTTATAGTACTCGGTTTTTTACCATCAATCACCGTGTTTAAGTATATGAAGGAACATACAGATAGATAGTCACCTCTGTTCCTGCTATAAAGGCATCCCCCTGGAATTTCTGGGGACCCTCCAAAGGAACAGATTAAGTTGGCTGCCTGGGTGTTTCTTCTCTTCTGCCCATCCCCCCTGGTACTTGAGATCTTCCAGTAGTAGGCAGCCTCATCTCTGCTGTCATTTATATATTTTGTCAATAAGTGTATCACTATAATTTTAAAAGGGTTGTTTGATTGAAGAAAACATGGGGGGGGGGGGGAATAAATATGGCAGACATGTCATCTCACTCGCCTGATCTTCTGAATCCTCTACTTCTTGTCAATTGTTTTCTTTAACAATTTGCTTGAAACTACGTACATGTTCTTCTGATGTTCTTCTAGAAAAACTTCCTACTGTTACGTGATTTCAGCTTCCTCAAGAACTGCAGGTTCAAAGCCCAGAATGTCAAGCTTTCAGAAGGCCATATGAGACACTTAACAGGTTGAAGGCAAAATCAGAGAATTTATTCTCAATAGCCAAACAGGATGTCAAAAATTTCAGACTCACAATTGTGAACACATTTATTTATTTATAGTACATTGACACAATGTACTATATACAAAGTGATACAAAACAAAAAGATTTTGCCACACCAGTCATTCATTGGTTGTGGTGAGTGCAGGCTAGGATCTGCCACCTCATTGGAGAAGAGGCGCATCCACTCTCTCTCAGATTGGTTCCAAGGTGGGAAATTTAAAGAAGTGTCATTGGTGATTCTGAAGATTTGTGTCTGTCTGTATGTCCCCTCAGGAATAAGGTGCACTCAGAAAGGAATGCAGCTGATCAAAAGTTAATGGGTCTTGATGACCCAGTGCCAGGCTTGAATAAGTGTTGACCAGACAGACAAGAAGGTGTTCAGGGTGTTGTTGTAATCAATCGAGACCTCATGGAAGGGAGTCTGACACAGCACTATAGATGAGGATATGTTCCCAGGACAAAATCAGATATTATGACAACCCTTTTAGCTCTTCAGAAAGACCCACTATTTGTTCCCTGTGACTTTTCCATGGTATTGTAAAAGGATTATGCTGGATAAATGGCTATCCCCTAAGATCCAGGGTGTGAGGAAAGGTTAGGTAACATTCAGGGATAGGTTTATTGAAGATTAGCTTTGAATTAAGGGAAAGACCAGCACATGCTCACTGTCTGTCTCAATGGAGCTGTGGGATTCATTTTTTGAGGTTCAATTTTAGATAACACTGCCTCACACTTAAAGCCCCTTTAACCTTCCTCAGAAGTCTACCTAAATTCTTTTCATATTGCTTCCTGAGAGATATATAGTATTAGTGTGTGGTAAGGGTTTTCCTTTTCTTTTTTGTCATGCAGGAAGTCAAACATGTTATACAGCTTGCAGAGCCCTAGAATCATTACATAGCATTAGGTGTGTTTCTGTTACATAGCATTAGGTGTGTTCCCTTGATTCCCTTTTCATGTTCTCTGTTAAACTTTCCCATTTGCTTATGCCAGTTGTGCATTTTGAGGAAATGGGAGCATCTAGCACATTTCCCATTTTTTTCAATTCATTTTCTGTTCTATGTTGTTGGACTTTGATGAACTCAAGACAGTTTGTGAATGAGGTCACTTGGTCATTCTTCCAAACTGCTAATTTTCTTTGTTTTGTTTGTTGGCTTGCTATTACAATTTTTTTTTGTAGAAATGTCCATTATTATAGTCTATCAAGAAATATGTTTTGGTTGTTGTGTCTTTTAATTTGTTCAACTATCACTGTTTTCTTTGGAGATGAGCAATGATAGTAGATGATTATAACTGCCAACAGACTGCAAATGTTTCAAAGACTTTGGCTGGAATCCTATTGATGATTTACACAGTATCAATACTGTTATGCAAGCTGTTCTATTTTCTAGGAAGTTGTACAACGTTGGAATTACTCCGTTCATGAGTCTCCCTTACAAATATATTTTCTTCCTATCTCATCCTGGGTTTTTATCATGGTATCTTGCACATGTGGCCCGCTCATTGTGATGGTGTTTGACCTCCTCTATCTTGTTCATGCCCAGCATTTATTTTTAACATTTGGCCCAGCCACAGTTTTAAATGTGCTTTGTGCTATTGTTCAATGTTTATGCTACTTGTGTATGATATTTATTTTAATTGCTTTGTATTAGTAGTTGTATTTTGCTTCGTATTGTGGTTGTTATTGCTTGTATTGATGTATTGTGGGCTCGGCCTCATGTAAGCCACACCAAGTCCCTTGGGAGATGGTAGCGGGGTAGAAATAAAGTTTATTATTATTTATTATTATCTTTTATTGTATTACTTTGCACTGTTTATTGTTTTTATGTTTGATTCATTTTATTGCAATGTTGTTTTATGCTTTTTATGTTATTGTATTGTAATTGCACTACTGGGCTTGGCCATCCCAAGTCCCCTTTGGGGAGATGGTGGCAGGGTATAAATAAAGATGATTATTATTATTATTATTATTATTATTATTATTATTATTATTATTGGGTTTGCACAAGCAACAGCACTACTATGTGCAACGGACTAGTTTAAGACATTGCTGCCTGTTTTGCAATTATTCATTCATTGGTGTATAACTCTTGTGCAGTTATGATGGTGCAAAATTATGCTTCTACAGGTGACAAAATGGCTGTCACAAAGGAGAGAGAGAGTGTGTGTGTCAAAATCCTTACATATTATTATAAGAGAAATTATTCCAATTAACACTTATGACCATTGCAGGATTGCAACAGCTAAACATGAATTCCACATCTTTCCTTTAAAGCTTTGCAATGCTCCCCAACACAACCCTTTCCAAGGTGCTGGGTAATGGGGTGGTAAAGTAATGACATATCCAGCCAGTGCCTTAGGAATGTCTGTGGGACGCAGGCTGTGTAAGAGATGTTATACTTATGCCTCTGTAGCTACATCTTCTAATGTAAGATCTATATATTCCTTCTCTTTTTCTGATTTACATTATAAGACAATGCACACACATTTATGGCTGTACAGTACATTTTTAAAACTACCAAGGAAGTCCAGTTTCAGCCAAAGAAAGTACCACAGCTGACGTCAGTGTATTCCAGATTCAGGGCAAAATTGACTCTGCAAAATATGGAGTGTATTGTAGACACCTGCCCCTGCCGAAGAACATTATAGACTCCAGAACAATTCTACAGAAAAGCACACCCAAGGGTAGCAGGTCAGGGGACTAATTGATCCCCTGTGTACGGTCAGTGATTATTTTTGCTAATACCTGTCATGTTTGCCTCTGGAGTGCTAATGTACATCTCTCTGAGAAATTGAAAACTTCTCAGCATAGCAATTGAAGTTGGTTCCATGGTTAAGGTAATCACCTACCTGGCCTCAAACCACTTCTACACCTGTCAATCTAATCATCTGTCCAGCAAAATTATTTCCTCCAAAAACTGGTTCCAAACTGCATTATAGTGTCAGTGTAGATTTGCCTTTAGATAAGCAATATTTCAGCCAGGAGATTCCTTGAGTGACCTTCAACCTGTTACTCTTTTAGGGTTCATCTAAATTACAATAATGTAGTTTGATGTCACTTTAACTGTCACAGTTCAATGCTGTGGAATCATGGGAGTTGTAGTTCTAGAAGGTTTTTAGCCTTCTCTTCCAAAGAGAAGAATACCTCATCAAACTACCTCATTAAACTATAAATGCCAGGATTTAATGGCATTGACCCAGGGCAGTTAAAGTTGTGACATACTGAACTATTTCTACAGAGTACATGCCCCCTTATTCTAACCTACTCCAGATGGTCTTCATGAATTCAAAGCCTCTACTGAGCCCCTTGGATGAAGGGCAGTATAAAAATACTCCAAAATGCAGAAATACTAAGAAATCAATGTATAGGATGAGTGAAGCCTCTTTGCATCTAAGTCATGATCATGTTGACCTAAAATAAATATATGCTTGTAATGGTTTTCATTTGTAAAAATTTCCCTTACAGAAACATGCAAAAGGACAAGATTTGTTTGATCAGATTATATATCATTTGGACCTTGTGGAAACGGATTATTTTGGCTTGCAGTTCATTGATGTATTCCAGATTATGGTATGTATTTGGCTTTTATATTGTAGCAATGATTTCGACCAGAAAATTATAATCTGATTTTTAAAAAGCTGGTTAATACAACATTAGGCCACTGTCTTCCAAATAAGCCTGGAAATTGTCACTAGTTTGAAACAAGCAAAAATGTTATATTCATGTGCAAAACTGATACTTCATTCCATGTATGTACATTTTAGAAGTATCTTGGGGATTTTTAAACCTTTGCTGTGGAGTCTTCATTTCACTCACATCCTGTTAATCAATATATAAAGATTAATAGCTAATATTAAAAATTGGAAAAATGAATCATGTACTTCAGAATCAGAAATGTGGCATGAAGTTTCTGATAGAGTCATAGAATCATAGAATCAAAGAGTTGGAAGAGACCTCATGGGCCATCCAGTCCAACCCCCTGCCAAGAAGCAGGAATATTGCATTCAAATCACCCCCTGACAGATGGCCATCCAGCCTCTGTTTAAAAGCTTCCAAAGAAGGAGCCTCCACCACACTCTGGGGCAGAGAGTTCCACTGCTAAATAGCTCTCACAGTCAGGAAGTTCTTCCTCATGTTCAGATGGAATCTCCTCTCTTGTAGTTTGAAGCCATTGTTCTTCCGCGTCCTAGTCTCCAGGGAAGCAGAAAACAAGCTTGCTCCCTCCTCCCTGTGGCTTCCTCTCACATATTTATACATGGCTATCATATCGCCTCTCAGCCTTCTCTTCTTCAGGCTAAACATGCCCAGCTCCTTAAGCTGCTCCTCATAGGGCTTGTTCTCCATACCCTTTATCATTTTAGTCGCCCTCCTCTGGACACATTCCAGCTTGTCAATATCTCTCTTGAATTGTGGTGCCCAGAATTGGACACAATATTCCAGGTGTGGTCTAACCAAGCAGAATAGAGGGTAGCATGACTTCCCTAGATCTAGACACTATGCTCCTATTGATGCAGGCCAAAATCCCATTGGCTTTTTTTGCCGCCACATCACATTGTTGGCTCATGTTTAACTTGTTGTCCACGAGGACTCCAATATCTTTTTCACACGTACTGCTCTCAAGCCAGGCATCCCCCATTCTGTATCTTTGCATTTCGTTTTTCCTGCCAAAGTGGAGTATCTTGCATTTGTCACTGTTGAACTTCATTTTGTTAGTTTTGGCCCATCTCTCTAATCTGTCAAGATCGTTTTGAATCCTGCTCCTGTCCTCTGGAGTACTGGCTATCCCTCCCAATTTGGTGTCGTCTGCAAACTTGATGATCCTGCCTTCTAACGCTTCATCTAAGTCATTAATAAAGATGTTGAACAGGACCGGGCCCAGGACAGAACCCAGTTATTTAATACACCCTAAAGGTGCACTCCTACAATTGTTTCCGTGATTTCTGGATGCATAATCATATCCTTAAATCAGAGACGAGAGTTATTTCTTAGTGAACATTCATGGACTCAAGCTGAGGGGGGAAAAAACCCGTTAGAATGCTCTCTGGGCTACAGAAATACCTTCCCAGCTTCTTAACACAGAAATATGTTAGGAAATGTTTTTTCTGCACAAAGCAAATAATATTTGCTTCTCTTTCTTTCTATGTGTAATGACCATTCTGTGAAATAAGTGCGTGAAAATACTGAAACAGAATATTCTGGACACAGTCTATTGCTACTGAGGCAGGTGCTAGCATTTTACTCCCTGCTAACCCAGTCTGCCTTGTTGAAATACTTGCTCCTCATCATATTCTCCCCCTGCCCTTAACCGGCACAGTCTGAAATTCCTCTTTTTTGTGCTCTTCTTGCCTTCTTATCTCTTCTTGTTTTTTGCAGCTTTTCTGTGGTATGCTGTTCTGTTTACTTGCCCAACTTGTTCCCAAAACTTGCCTCTACTCTAGTTCTAGTTCACTTTAGTCCCAATTTAGATATTTCCTCTTAAGTTCAAAGGGATAAGGTCAATCCAAGAGGCCAAGTCAGCGTATAATTCACATAGTCAGCATGTATATATCTTTTGTATATTTTCAGCTGTATTGTTTTGTAAATTGTAAGCTACCCCGAGTCTCATTTTTAGGAGAATACTGTGATAGAAATCATAGAATCATAGAGTTGGAAGAGACCTCATGGGCCATCCAGTCCAACCCCCTGCCAAGAAGCAGGAATATTGCATTCAAAGCACCCCTGACAGATGGCCATCCAGCCTCTGTTTAAAAGCTTCCAAAGAAGGAGCCTCCACCACACTCCGGGGCAGAGAGTTCCACTGCTGAACAGCTCTCACAGTCAGGAAGTTCTTCCTAATGTTCAGATCAGGCATATAGCCGGGGTAAACTGTTATGTTTATTCATATCATGATCTTATCACCATACTCAATATATCCCATATGCATGGGGGTATTGGGGTAATGATACATAAGGTTTGCTAGGCTAGACCCTCTTTCACTCAGACTCAGCCCCCCCCCCGAAACTCAGCCCCCCCCGAAAGCCCCCCTGAAAAAAAATCAGCCCCCCCCCAAACGAAATCCTGGCTACGGGCCTGGTTCAGATGGAATAAACAAGATACTAATGGAATACTCAGGCCAGTTGATTTAAAACAAAATAAAATGAGAGATGAGAGGCGATAAAATTAAGCAGGCATTACCAAGCAATAAAAGCAAAGGAGAGCCAAGACATTGAATTTTTTTATAAAAGAAGAAATAAAAAACAAAACAATCCAAAGAAAATCATAACAAACAAAAGAAGTTCCAGAGCTCCTTACAACATAGCATCATGTAGCTGGACACACTATACTCTTGACCTGGTATTTTTTGCAGATGGGGGTGAAAATTTCAGGTTGGAGGAACTGTCAATTGTTCTGTTGCCATGGACCGACTATCATCTGAGCAGGTTTAGACTCACCACAGCCTCTAAACTCCGCAAGGGTGGGGGACCTACTTAGATGATCCGTCCCAGGAGATTAATGGATCTGGATGGATTCCTGACATCTCTTGAAGAGTTTCCTGTCATGGCGGCAGACGACTAGGGCGGTTGACACAATCACCCCCAAATGTCCCCTTCAGTGTAGCAGAGTCAACTTGGCTCCTTGGTTCACCATGGAGCTTTCAGTGATGAACCGAGCGAGACGGAGATTAGAGTGCATTTGGCAGAAGTTTCAGAATGAATGCAACCAAACACAGATTAAAGCCTCACTTAGGGCCTACCCCACATCAGTGAAGACAGCCAGGAAGATGTTCTTGATTACTCACTTCGCATCTGCAACTAATAGACATAAGCAGTTATTCCGAGTGGTCAAGGAGCTCCTCTACCCACTCCATGACCACTCAGTGACTAAATGTGATTATTTCTATTCTAAATAACTACCGGCCTAATTTCCAATCTCCCTTTTTGGGACAAGTTTCTGGAGCATGTGGTGGCCTCTCTACTCCAGGGATTCTTGGAAGAAACTTATTATCTTGATCCATTGCAGTCTGGTTTTAGACCTGGTTATGATACGGAGGCAACTTTGGTCGCCTTGGTGGATGACCTCTGGAGAGAACTAGACAGGGAGAGTGTGTCCCTTCTGGTTCTCCTGAACATCTAAGTGGCCTTTGATACCATCAGCCATGCTATCCTTCTGGGGAGGCTTCCCAGAATGGTTTCACCAGTGATAATAGGATTTTCCAGAGGAGGGCAACTAAAATGATCAAGGGTCTAGAGAACAAGACATATGTGGAGTGGCTTAAAGAGCTGGGCATGTTTAACCTGCAGAAGAGAAGGCCGAGAGGAGATGTGGTGGCCATGTATAAATATGTGAGTGGAAGTCATAGGGAGGAGGGAGCAAGCTTGTTTTCTGCTGCGCTGGAGACTAGGATGCAGAGCATTGGCTTCAAACTACAGGAAAGGAGATTGCACCTGAACATTAGGAAGAACTTCATAACTGTGAGAACTGCTTAGCAGTGAAACTCTCTGCCCTGGGGTGTGGTGGAGGCTCCTTCTTTGGAGGCTTTTAAACAGAGGCTGGATGTCCATCTGTCAGGAGTGCTTTGAATGCGATTTTCCTTCTTGTTGGCAGAGGGTTGGACTGGATGGTCCATGAGGTCTCTTCCAATCTATGATTCTATGATTAATTTCAAACTGCCAGTGACCTGGAAGAGTTCTTATATAAAGAATAATTAGATAGTTCCTGAAACTGTCATTTCAAAAAAAACAACAACAACAAACAAACAAACCAGCTTGCTCATTTATTTGTGAATATGGGAGTAAGTATTTCACTTTTGGCATTGTTTTTAATCGGAAATCATAAACTTTGCCCTTTTGTTTTTATCACCTAGCGGAAATGCAATAATGCAGACGTATTTGCTTGTAGTATTTTGGGATAAAAATTGGATTTTTATCCCGTTTTCTCCCCCACAATGTAGTTCTGGGCAGTTTGTAGTAATCGATAATACTAAAAGAGTATACTGGCATCTTTTGGGCTGTGATAATTCATTACAACACCATTCTAGGCACTCTCAAAACTTGATAGTATTTTTGCTTCTTATCTAAGTGCTGAATTCCAAATCAAAATATAGAAATTTCAATTGGTCCCTCTTTAACAGGGCGATAGAGTGTAGCCCAGAGTCCTCTCAGTAGGGAGTAAATCACACTGGATGACACTTATTTCTGAGTACATATACTTAACATTGTAGGTAGATTGAAACTACTGAAACTGTAGACATAGAATGTGAGAAAGTCATATAACCACTAACCATTCGGCTCTATTTTCTCTAATAGATAATATAGTTGACCCTCCATACCTACTAATTCTGTATCCATGAATTCAGGATATAATGTTAAAACTGTTTTCAGTTTTAAACCTGTTAGTTCTTTAACCCTGTTCTTACAGTAAATATTTTTTAAATTGTAATCCTTTTATGATTCCTATGAAATACCTTTGTATTTCACTTTGAGAGAAAACAAAAATCAAATAACCAAATAAATTAAGCAGATTATGTGTACATAGACTGTCCTTCCTTAGGCGATTTCTTATTGTCCAAGTAGGAGTGTCTTCCAAGATTA